ATTTGGGAGTTAGACATGGTATCTCAGCCTGAGCTTTGGTGGCCTAGTGGTAAGGAATTACACATCTAATCCAAGACATTTAGTTCAAACCCATCAGCTGCTCTGTAGGAGAAAGATGGACAATCTTCTCACATGGGATTTACAGCCTTTGAAAACCTGCTGGAAGTTAACTGAATAGATAAGCAGCAATAAAAAAAATAAATCTCTGACTCTAGGGCCTATGCTCTGATGTGTTCTGACCAGAAACTTCTATTTGTTCTCCATCCCCATCTAATCCCAGGATGGCTTTGGTTTAGTTTATATACCTAAAATCAGAGGTTAGATCTGACTGATTTTAAGCTTTCTGCAAGAGAAAGAATTTATGCTCCTTATTTCTATGTATCAGAGAGCTGGACAATGACTAAAGATAGCAGAAGAATTATTAATGCCTTTGAGTTGTGTTGCTGGAGAAGAGTATTGAACATCATGCTTGGAAGGATGGAAGTGCAGGAAAGAAGGCCCTGGATAAGATGGGTTGATACCATAATTGGAGTGATGGGATTAGGTGTGTCAAAGTCAATGAGACTGGCCCAGAACAGGGCAAGGTTCAGAGCTGTTGTACATAGGGTCACTATGGATCACAGATGACTCAATGGCACATAGCAACAGCAACATACAACTCAACACTTTTTAACAACCACTGGTTCTGAAGGCTGGGGGCATGCAGGAAAAGCACAGTTTCTGTTCTGGGAGTTGGTGAGGGGTAGTGCTACTGGCACATAAATCAATAGTCATGGCAGTCAGTGATTATTGGGCATAATGATGGTTGTGGCCTGAGTAGAATGTTGCTCATCCAAAGGTGGTGTTAAGTATCATCGAGTGGGAACTGACTGCTAGCTGACCTTCCATTGGGTCTGCAGAGGTGATAAATCACACAGAAGGAGATTATCCATTTCTCTTTGGTGGATTTGAACCAACTGTGTGCCTCTGGATTGGTTACACAGCTCCTGACTACTAGGCCACCAGAGCAACCTCATTCAGAGGTGAAAAGGAAGGAAGGAGTATTGGGAAGCTTTGAAGATCTGGTTAAGTGTCAGAAAATGAACAACAACAAAGCATTTCCCTGGTAGAAAGAACCACATGTGCAGTCAGAGGGTAAAAAAATAACATGAAGTACTTAAAAAGGCAAAAGTGGCTCAGACGTGGGATTCAGGAGTGTGTGTCTGGATGTTTGTGTGTGTACATACCAGAAGAGCCTGAGAGGTAGATTGGCCTTGATAGTAAATGGTCCTGTGTATCATGGTAAGTTAGACTGGACCTGAGGAACAGTGTTTCCCAAACAGTCCTAAGGAACAGCCCTAGAGAAGAATGGACACCAGGACTTCTGGAAGTTTTTCTCAGTGAGGCCCCATTAGGCTTCAGGCTGAACAATTCCTCTTTTACCTACTTTATTTACAGAGTTCTGCCTGATGACATCTGACAAAAAGGTTGCATTGCTAAACAAACAAAAAAGGTATGGCCCACAGGACCACTGAAAGTTTTATGCTGGAGAAGTCAGATTCTGTTGCAAGAAACCCTTTGAAGGGGATTTGGGGGGATGGGGAAGGACTAATGACTGACCTTTGGGGCCAGTGTCTCCTGCTCAGTTTCCTAGGCTGGAGAGGGACTGTAATTAGGAGAGGAGGCATACATACCTCTCTGTAGGGAAGGATCTGATAAAAACTAAGGTCTCCCCTGGGGCTTGGGGGTATGTGTCCTCTGTGAGGGAGTCCCCAACATAGAGAACTGGCAGAGAGAGTAGGAAGAGGGGGGAAGCAGGAAGTGGGCAACTAGACTTACAAAGGTGCCTGTGGCGGTTTGCCCATCCCAGGTGGGATGGTGGGGCCTAAAGACCTTAAAAAAACTCTCAAGTTCATTGCTGTGGAGTGGGAACCCACTCATAGCTAACCCGTCCGTGGACTTCTCTGAGGCTGTGAAATCACAGGAGATTGCCCATCTTTCTCCCATGGAGTCGCTGGTGGGTTCAAACCGCCAGAAAGGCACCATCTTAGGGTAGCCGTGCAACTCCTTACCCACTAAATCAGCTCTAAGGCCCTTATGTGCTTTCATGTCCCCAGGGCATGGAGGGAAAGGCAATCAAGAGTTGTTAAGTTAAAAAAAAAAAGTTGTTAGGTGCCTCACAGCTGACCCAGTTGACTGTCCAATAGAACAAAACCCTGCCAGATCCTGTATCATCCTCTCAACCTCTGCTGAGTTAAACCCATTGGTGCGGTTACTGTCAACCAAACTCATTGGTGCAGCCCCTGTCAGTCAAATTCATTGGTGCAGTCACTGTTGATCTGTCTCTGCGATTCTTCCTTTTTTGTGCTGACATTCCAGTTTTCCAAGCAAGATATCTCCAATTACTGGCCCTTCCTGATAACATGCCCATAGCATGTGAGACAAAGTCTTACCATCATTGCCTCTAAGCAGTAATCTGGCTGTTCTTCTCCCAAGACAGGCTTGTTTGTTCTTTGGGTATTCTATAAGCTATTCAATTTTCTTTGACAACATTACAATTCAAAGGCATCAGTTCTTTTTTAGTCTTTCTTAATCATTGTCCAATGTTCATATGTAAATATGTCATGGTTTAAAATACCATGGCTTGCATCAGGCACACCTTGGTCTTTGAACTGATACCCTTGCTCTCGAGCACTTTGAAGAAGGTCTTGAAGAGCAGATTTGTCTAATGAAATACTTTTCTAATTTCTTTATTGTTGCTCTCACAAATGTTCATTGTGGATCCAAGTAAGATGAAATCATTAACAACTTCACTTTTTTTTTTTTACTTTTTATTGTATTATTTTTACGTGTACCGTCAAATCAGATCTGACTGGTACAGGAGGAGATTGCCCCCTCCTTCTCCAGCAGAGCACCTGGTGGATTTGAACTGCATACCTCTGGGATAACAACTTCAATCTTTTATTAATTTATGTTTATTAATGTTGCTTATTAGTCCATTTGTGAGATTTTTTGTTTTATGTTGAGATATAATCCATACTAAAGAATGTGTAGTCTTTGATCTCTATCAGTAAGTGCTTTAGATCTGTTTACAAGGTTTTAAATCCATGATATAAGGTTGTATCCCCTGCATTGTAGATCATTAACGAGTCTTCCTCTAATCTTGATGCCACATTCTCTTCATATAAGCTAGCTTCTCAAATTATTTGCTCAGCATATATATTGAATGTTGTTGTTGTTAGGTGCTGACAAGTTGAGTATGACTCATAGTGACCCTATGAACCCTGTTCTATCCCGTGCCATCCTTACACCTCTTGACCCACAAAGCCCACTGTGGCAGTCACTGGGTCAATCCACCTAGTTGAGGGTATTCCTCTTCTTTGCCACCTCTCTACTCTTCCCAGCATCATGTCCCTTTCCAAAGAATAGCACCTCCTAGTAACATGCCCTAGGTATATGAGGCCAACCTTCATCATTCTTGCCTCCAGCTGCAACCTCTCTAAGACATATCTGTTTGTTCTTTTGGCTGTCCATGGGATGTTCAATTCTTCTTCTGTCATCCTTATTCATTGTCCAGCTCTCAGATGCATAGCAAGTGATCAGAAAAGACCATGGCCTGAATTAGACACGCCTTAGTCCTCAAACTGACATCATTACTCCTCAATAATTTGCAGAAGTCCTTATCTGCAGATTTTCCCAATGTAATGTGTCTTCTTATTTCCTAACTGCTGCTACCAAGGGCGTTAATTGTGGATCCAAGCAAGATGAAGCTGTTGACAGCTTCAATCTTCTTTCCATCCATCATGAAGCTGGCTATCAGTCCAGTGGTAACAATCTTTGCTTTCTTGACATTGAGGTGAAATCCACACTGAAGGCTGCATTCCTTGATCTGCAGTAAGTGCTTCAAATCCTCCTCACTTTTAGCAAGTAAGGTTGTATCATTTGCATAACACAGGTTATTGATGAGTCTCCCTCCAATCCTGATGTCATACTTCGCATCATAGAATCCAGCTTCTCAAATAATTTGCTCAGCATACAGACTGAATAGGTTCGGAGAGAGAATATAACCCTGATGCAGTCCCTTCTCAGTTTTAAACCATGCAGTGCTCCCCTGATCTGTTCACACAACAGCCTCTCACCCAGGTATAGGTGCTGCATAAGCACAATTAAGTGCTTTGGGATTGCCATTCTTCTCAATGTCAGCCACAACTTGTTAAGATTCACACAGTTAAATACCTTTGCATAGTCAATAAAGCACAAATAAACAAATACATTGTATTTCTCCTGATTTTAAACCATGCAGTATCCTCTTGTTTTATTCTAATAACTGCCTCTTAGAATCCACCATTTTTTTAATTTTCTGTGGCTGGTGAATGGGGGATGGTGGGCACTTCAGTCACTTTTGTATTTCCAGGTTAAGGCTCCATTTTTATGTGCCATCAAGTTGAAGCTGATCCATAACTTATCCTTCAGTGGGTTTCCAAAGGCTATAAATTGCACAGGAGGAAAGTGCCCATCTATTTTTCTCAGAGTATTTGGTAGATTTAAACAACTTTTCTTTGGGTTGGCAGCACAACCCCTTATCCACTATTATTGTTATTTGCTGCCAAGTCAACTATGACCCATAGCAACCCTATGAACAATGGCTCTGAGCCCTGCTCTATCCTGAGCCAATTTCATTGTCTCTGATACACCTGCCCCCATTGCCACAGCCACTGCGTCATTCCATATCATTTAGGGTCTTCCTCTCCTGCATTGTCTGTCCACCAAGCATAATGTCCTCCAAGCATGATGTCCTTCTCCAAGGACTGGTTTCCTCCTGGCAACATGCCCAAAGTATGTGAGATGGAGTTTTAAAATCCTTACCTCAAAGAAGCAACCTGGTTTCACCCTCTCCAGGATCCTTATCCACTAGACCACCAGAATTCCCTGGTTAGAGACCTAGGATGTCTGATAGTAGAGGTGCAGATCTTGTGAAGTGGGAGTGGGAAGTATTTTCAGTTCTTTTTCCATTGCTCTAGGGACCATGGGCTGTAGCTGCAGCTCAAACCCTGAAGATGACTGGATGGAAAATATTGATGTGTGCGAAAACTGCCACTATCCCATAGTTCCACTGGATGGGAAAGCCACGGTAAGTGGCCAGACAAGGGATTTAGTGAGGGAACTGGGTGGAGTGTAGGACCCTGGGTCACTCAGGGGAAAATATGGACTACCACTATACACCTTGGAAATAACAAAATTGACTTCTCTGGTGTACCAAAACTGAGGCCCAGAAAGGGGAGGGCACTCTCCCATGATAAAGCAGTAGGGAGTTGATCAAGTAGTTGGCTAGTAGTAGTAAGACCCAGCCTCCTGCTCTCTAACCTCACCTTCATCTCCCACAGTTATCCATTCGGAATGGCTCTGAGGTGCGGGACCCACTGGTTACCTATGAGGGCTCCATCCCTCCAGCCTCACCACTGCAAGGTGACCTCAACCAGAGATTGAAGAGCCCTATCAATGTCTTTGACTGGTTGCCTCCATTTCCTCCACCCTTCCTGCCCGCAGTCCTATTTCCTGTCCTTGAATTCCAGACCTCCATACTCCCAGGCTGCCCCAGGCGCCTTCTCCCTGACGACCCCCTATCTTTGCAGATAATTTGGTTATTGCCCTGCACAGCTATGAGCCCTCTCACGACGGAGACCTGGGCTTCGAGAAGGGCGAACAGCTTCGCATCTTGGAGCAGTTGAGTGCTCTCTCCACCCCATTCACCCTTATCCGGTCTGGATCTGAGGGAGGGGTTCATTGGCTCAGACCTCCATTCCCGAAGGGAAATTACCTGGTATTTCCACTCTCATCCTAGGAGTTTGACTGGATTGGGGCAGGCGTTCTTGCAACAAACGCGAGTGCTGAGCTGAAGGGGAAGAGGGCAAAGACCTGGTGGAACTGGGAACTCAAAGGGAGGGTCTCTGGCTCGGTCGAGGACTAAGCAGACCCACGCTAACCCCGGATGTATTTGCAGGAATGGTGAGTGGTGGAAGGCGCAATCTCTGACCACAGGCCAGGAAGGCTACATTCCCTTTAACTTTGTGGCCAAAGCAAACAGCCTAGAGCCCGAACCGTGAGTAGGGACTCCTGGTGGGAAGAGTTGGGAATTTCTAGAGGCTTTAAGGGCAGGGGAGGAGTCCTGGGGGTGGCGGCGAACGCTTGAAGCGGACGGAAGAAGAATGGACCAACAGGCAACGCTGTCGCTTCTGCCCTGCCCAGCTGGTTCTTCAAGAATCTGAGCCGCAAGGACGCTGAGCGACAGCTGCTGGCGCCGGGGAACACACACGGCTCCTTCCTGATCCGAGAAAGCGAGAGCACCGCGGGTGAGCGGCAGGGCGGGAACACGCTGGGGCGGGGCCGGGGCGGGGCTTGGGCGGGCCCGGGCGGGGCCTAATCGGGCCCGCCCTCCGTGGGCAGGACCCAAGCGGTGGGCGGGTTGCAGGGACTAGATCTATTAAGTGAGCAAGAGCAGAAAGGCGGGGCAGCAGATGTGGCTCTAAGGATCCTTCTTTTGCCTTCGTTAGTGTGCACGTTTATTCATATCATCCACTCACTTATTCAGGATCGTTTTCACTGTCTGTCCGGGACTTTGACCAGAACCAGGGAGAGGTGGTGAAGCATTATAAGATCCGTAACCTGGACAACGGCGGCTTCTACATCTCCCCTCGCATCACTTTCCCTGGCCTGCATGAACTGGTCCGCCATTACACCAGTGAGCCCCACCAGACTCCCTGAGACATGCTTCCAGGCCCTTTCTTATGTGCTCTATTAGCTTTTCTCTCATCTCAATTTCTTTCAGGATTATCTTCCTCCCAAGTCTCTGTTCACTCCTTCACCACTTCCACCCCCATGCCCAAGGTGGGAGGGGGGTCCCTCTACAACCCTAGGTGGTCTGCTGACAGCCCACACCTCCCTGTCAGTCCATTTCTCCGACTCCAGGTTCCGGGTGAGGTCCGAGCTGAGGGGGGGAACCAAGGAGGTGCTATGTTGACAGCCCTTGTGCCTCTCCTCTGGTCCACAGACAATTCGGACGGGTTGTGCACGCGGTTGAGTCGCCCCTGCCAGACCCAGAAGCCGCAGAAGCCGTGGTGGGAGGATGAGTGGGAGGTTCCCAGGGAGACGCTGAAGCTGGTGGAGCGGCTGGGGGCAGGTCAATTCGGGGAGGTGTGGATGGGTGAGTACGACCCTCCAGGACTGCAGGGAAGCGGGAGAGGGGAGGTGTCCATAGAAAAAGTGGCCATGAGAGTCCCAGGCAGTGCCCTGTTCCAGGCGCAACTGTCTGATTCTCGAGGTACATGGGCTGCGGGTGACTCTCTCAACTCCTCCCTCAGGATACTACAATGGACACACCAAAGTGGCTGTGAAGAGCCTGAAGCAGGGCAGCATGTCTCCCGACGCCTTCCTGGCAGAGGCCAATCTCATGAAGCAGCTGCAACACCAGCGGCTGGTCCGGCTGTACGCTGTGGTCACCCAGGAGCCCATCTACATCATCACGGAATACATGGAGAACGGTGAGCTCTCCCAGGGGACGACTCCTGACCCCATCCTTTCTCTCTGCCTCAACACAAAGCGATGAATATTTCTGGCTGCTGAAGACCCACTTCAAGGAAGAGAAGAGGCTGTTGTTATTTGGAGGGTAGCCAACTGCAGCAAATTCTGAAGAACATTCATCACTTGCCTACTTCAAAACTCTACTTTGATCTCAGGAAATGAGATCTCTAGCTTCATTTCTCCCAGTTCTGGTGACCTAGTCCAGAGGGAATTGAGCTGTTAACTCAAAGGCTACACCTCTCCCTCTCTAGGGCTTTGAATCCAGAAGCTACTCAGTGGGAGAAAGAAGCAATCTCCTTCTGCACCATTTACAGCCTCGGAACTTGACGGCCATGACTTTGATTTTTCATGTCCTCACTGAGCCTTGGGAGGGCAGCTCAGCCCTTATGCATTGCTGTGGAGTCAACTAGAAGTCATAGCGACCCTGTAGTTGAACTTCTGTATAGGGTTTCCTAGGTTATCAAGGGAGTTCTAGTGGTATATGTGGTATGCAGGGAGTTGTGCTGCTGGAGCTTCAGCTCCACCAGTGGCACCATAGGAGGATGAGTAATCTCCCATGAGACTTACGGCCTCTGAAAATGCTGAATTAGCTTTGGGTGAGTTCCTCCTGACAGCAATGAGTTGAGTTTTGGATTTTTATGGGGAAGAATCCCTGGTGTCACAGTGGGTAAGCACTCAGCTGCTAACTAAAAAGCTAACTGGGAAGTTCAAAGCCAGCAGCAACTCCTTAGGAGAAAGCTGTGGCAGTGTCCTTCTGTAAAGATTTGCAGATAGTCTTGGAAACCCTACGGAGCAGTTCTACTCTGTCCTATAGACTTGCTATGAGTTGGGATAGACAATACAGAGAGGAGGTGCTGTGCCATTAAACAGAACCCTGGAAAGCAAAGATTGTGGTTTTAACCTCCACTCTGACACTGATTTGCTCTATGAGCCAGACCAAGTTCCTATACCTTCCCTGGCTGGCTTTCCGTTTCCTCAATTATGCTGTTGCTGTTGATAGTTACTATCAAAGTGATTCTGACTCACGGTGACCCATGTGTGCATGCCCCTATATGACAGCAGAAAATCTAAATGGGCTCAACCAGAAGAAGCAATAAACAGTAGTCATCAAGGGCTCAGGAGTCTGACTGCCTGGATTAGACTCCTGTCTTCATGTTTGTGTGGTCTTCGACTACTCATATAGCTTCTCTTTGCCTTGATTTCCTCATCTCTAAAATGCTGATAATAATGCAATAATAACTTCCTCATAGGGTCTTTGTGAGGATAAAAGACTTAAGCATATAGAACAGTTAGAAGAACAGTTCCTGTCATATTTTTTTGCATTAAAATTTGGCTTATAGCTCCTATCACTTTGCAGCTTTTCCCAAACATTTACTTATTTATCATGAGTCAAGTATTTGCATACATAATCTAATTTAATGAAAAGTGGACCTTATTTTCCTTTTTGTAAATTTTTTATTGTGATTTTAACAAAGGTTTATGGAAAGGTTGGATTTTCATTCATTCACTGTTGTACATTTTCCTCCCTTCCCCTACCCCAGTCCACTTGTCATATATTAACTGAATAAGATGTTTATTGCCATTCTTATCTGGTTCTGAGTCTTCAGGAGTATAAGATCTGTCCCTCTTTCAGGAAGAAGTATAAGCTAATTGTCTAATAAATTCTGCACATGGCAAATAGATTGTATTATATATGTGCCAACTCTGACTTGTTATTAGTTACTTCAGCAGCTGGGTTGAGAGAGATTGTGAGCCTCGGTGGAAGTAAGTAGTATGGTCAGCAATATGTGCCTTAGACATAATCAAGAAAGGACAATATATATCCACGTAGTATATAGCCACATAGTGCAGCCTGTAGATGAGACTTTAACTTCTGGTGACTAATTTAGTCTCATGGTGGGGACACTCAGATATGCTGTCATCCTCATTTGGGGTTTTAATCTCTCGGGAAGTACCAGTGATCCCTAGATTCATTCTAGCAACTTTTATCATGTTTTTCTTCCAGCTTCCCTCTACAAGTAGAGATGCTTCTCAGGCCCTGGGCACTTCTTTCCATACTCCATTCAATACCTTCAGATCGCATTTATTGTTGCTTACTTTGGGCTGGACACTGTTTGAGCAAACAAGGCTTCTGCTGTCATGGGAAGCCATAACTTTATGAATGGACATTAGAAGACAAAGCTTGTGCCATAGGGAGGTTTTAGCACACCACACCTTCCTGTGCTCACTGTTCACGCTTCTGTCCACAGGAAGCCTGGTGGATTTCCTCAAGACCGCCATAGGCATCAAGTTGACTATTAATAAACTCCTGGACATGGCAGCCCAGGTAAGGGGACTAGGGAAGGACTGGGCATGGGCACTGGCCACTGGACAAGGATGTCTGGCCTAGGACTGCTGACCTGTACCTGGCCTGCAGATCGCTGAAGGCATGGCATTTATTGAAGAGCGGAATTATATCCACCGTGACCTGCGGGCAGCCAACATTCTGGTGTCTGACACCCTGAGCTGTAAGATTGCAGACTTTGGCCTGGCACGCCTCATCGAGGACAATGAGTACACAGCCAGGGAGGGTAGGTATGGAGTCTGAGAGAGTTCTGGGGCCTGCTAGTTTCTGATCAAGTAGACTTAGATGACTTCACTCTGTCTCTCCACAGGGGCCAAATTTCCCATTAAGTGGACAGCACCAGAAGCCATTAACTATGGAACATTTACCATCAAATCAGATGTGTGGTCTTTTGGGATTCTGCTAACAGAGATTGTCACCCATGGCCGTATTCCTTACCCAGGTCAGCACCAAGGGCAGGAACTGAAAGGGATGGTGGGTAAGGTACCTCCTTCCGCTCACTCTTTGAAGGCTTAGTGCCTGAAACCTTCTGTTTTTCATCCTTGGAGTATTGTCACTCCAGTGTCCTCAACAAGATGCCACATCTCCCAGAGATCTGGATCTTTTCTCTAATAATTGCAACTCTTTTCTTTTGTTCTAATAAGCAGGCTGGTATTGTAGTAGATCTGGCCTGGGAGATAGGAAATCTCTTTTTTTATTACCCAACCTGCCATACATGGTAACTTTCTGTTTACCTTTAAACTTATACTTCCTTCTCTTCTACTGTAAGTTGCCTATTGTTCTAAACACTTTACATGTGTTCTCAACAGCATCACTGTGAGGTATAACTGCATAGTTGCTCTGAAATCTCAGTGAGGTTAAAGCAGCGCCTGGTCCACAGCAAGAACTCAGGAGTGTTAGGTTTTATTATTGTTATTAATAATAATTGTTATTTTTATATTTATTATTATAGGTTTTCTTATTTAATTGTTATTGTATGACTTTGTATAAGTCGTTTCTCCTCTTTAAGGCTCATGTTCTCATATGGAAAAAGAGAAACTAAATACAGCCAGAGTGCTCCTTAGAAACTTCATCTCACCTACTTTGGGCATATTGTCAGAAGAGACCAGTCTTTGAGAAAAAAACGTCATGCTGGGAATGGTGAAGGGTCAGGGAAAAAGAGGAAGACCTTCAACAGGACAATTGAAACAGTGACTGTAACAACGGGCTTCCGCAGTGAAGATAGTGCAGGAAAGGACAAGGTTCAGATCTGTTGTTCACAGGTCACTATGAATCATAGACTTGATGGCACCTAAAAAAACAGAAGTACAGAAGTAACAGGGGAGCTCTGGTGGCCTAGTGGCAAGAAGTTGTACTGCAATCCCAAAGGTACACTGAATCCACCAGATGCTCTGCCAGAGAAGGAGGTACAATCTCCTCCTGTACCTATCAGATCTGATTTGATGGTACATGCACAAAAAATAATAAAATAAAATTAAAAAAAACCCAAAAAACAAAAAAAAAAAACCCAAACAGCAATAACATTGGTGAAAGAGCCTGACTCATTGTACCAAACCAGTAGCTGTTGAGTGAACTTCAATTCATGGAGATACCATATATGTCTGCATGGAACATGGGACTAGACTTCATGCAATCTTCAGTGACTAGTTTTTTAGTAGACCACCAGAACTTTCCTCCCAGGATCACTGATTGGACTCGACCTCCAAGCCTTATAGTTAGCAACCACTGGCATTTCCATCTTCTAGGAATTTATGACTCATAGTGGGTTCTCTGCACACCCACTTCACTTCCCTCTGAAGCTTTCCTTCCAGAGAGGGAGGAACAAGCAAACAAACATTGCCACTGAGTTGATTCCAACACATAATGACCCTGTGGCACAGAGTTTAATGACCGAATAAGGTTCTCAAGCTTTGAGGAACACAGAAGCAGGTTGCTGCACCCTTCTCCCATGGAGTGGCTGGTGGGTTTGAACTGCTAACCTTTTGATTAGTTTCTGGGTGCTTAACCACTGCATTACCAAAGTTCTTTAAAAAGAGAGGAGACTTGTAAACAAATAATTCTCACTTGCCACTCCCATTATCTCTCCCTTTCCCCCATAATCCAGCCCAAGACATAGGACTTTAAAAAACAATAAACAAACAAACAAACCAAAACACCAAGAACTTGCCAGGAAAATATCAGGAAAGAATAGCTCATTTTTAACCCTCCATTGGATTTTGAAGGCTGTAAATTGCACAGGAGGAGATTGTCCATTTTTCTCCTACAGAGTTGCTGGTTTCAAACCATCAGAGCTGGAAATCTAGGCAGTTTAGCAGAGCTCCCTAAGGAAAGGAAACAAGGACAATGGTAAAGAGATTACAGAGCATAGTGGCCAAATGTGCAGATACTTCTACCACCTTCAGAGCAATGAGCAAAGGTTTCTTCCTCGGAGGGCAAGGGCATCTTAGACTCAGATGCCTGGATTTGCCCAGTCACAGGCTCCAGGTGCAGCACTGAGTATGTAGCTACACTCAGTCGTCCTGCCAAGGGCCTTTCCTGCTCCTCCACCACACCACAGAGGCTAACCCTTGGAGAATTTCTGTCTTGGAAGAAAAAAGGCAGTGAAAGCATGATGATAAATAGCAACTGACAAGTGGCTTTAAGGTTGGAGAGACAAAGGAAAGCAATGGTGACCTTGGTGAACTTGCATCTGCTCCAGCAGATGGTTGCTATTAAGGCATGGGGGAGGAGGGTCTCAAGATACAGACTTATATTCAGGGGAAGCCAAAACTCAGAGTTTTAGAAAAACCTACCCGTTTCTAAATACTGGCAATTGATTCAAATAGTTTAAAAATGCTACATGAGCCAAACCAAAGTAGGTCTGTGGGTTATATTTGGGCTGGATTTGCCACCTTGAAGCTGGCCAAAGGTGTTTGGTTCCCTGGCCTCTCTCCTCCGGTATCCTGACTCTAAAATGTCAGGGAACCAGAAGCCAGAAAAGGAGGGGTCTTTGTTGACCAGGTTCTAGTTCCAAGATTTATAGGAGCAAACTATTTTGCCAGGACCCTAGAAAGATCTTGTCTTTTTGCCAACTGCCCATCACAGTCTCCTTTCAGACTGCAGACGAAATCAGAGACCAAGTGAGCGATTTAGGGGAGGAGACTGTGTTTTTGCTGTGATCATTCAGTCCTCTTGGGGTCTGTGTGCCGAAGCCTGCTAGAGGGGCCAGGACCAACACAAAGGGAGGAAAGTGGTCCAGTGAATGACCTGGGTAAAGGAGGGGCCTGGTGAACCTTTTCTGCCCTGTACAAAGTCTGCTTTGTTGGAACCCAGGATCTATCTGGCTTTTTGATACAGAATTTCATATGCCTGTTCTCAAAGCTGGAGAAACTTACCACTGCCCTGGCTGTGGGCACTTTCCTGCCCAGAAACCTGACCACCCTATCCTTTCCCAGCACATAATAATAATAATCACAGCTACCTATACTTGGCGGGAGAAGGATGGGCAATCTCCTCCTGCGCGATTAACTGTCTCTAAAAACTCATCAGAGAGTCATCTATAAATTGGTTCTAATTTGACAGCAAATAGCAGCAACAGCCTATACTTAGTGCATTAAATGCTTGTTCTCATTCAATCCTCATAAGAACCTAGTGAACTAGGCGCCACTCTTTACTCCATTTTCCTCATGTGGAAACTGAAGTTCAAAGGGGTGAGCTGGCTTGCCCAAAGTCATATAGCTAACATGTGTTAGTGAATGTGTAAACTCTTAGGCAGTCCACATTCTGGATTGGTGCTCACACCAATTATTAAATAGCCTGGCTGTCATCTCTGCCTATGAATCTTCAAAGCCTGGAGCCCTGATTTCCTTTCTCCTGTCAACTCCTAGGGATGACAAATCCTGAGGTGATTCAGAACTTGGAGCGAGGCTACCGCATGGTGCGACCTGACAACTGTCCTGAGGAGCTGTACAACCTCATGATGCTGTGCTGGAAAGAGCACCCAGAGGATCGGCCCACCTTTGACTACCTGCGAAGTGTGCTGGAGGACTTCTTCACAGCCACAGAGGGCCAGTACCAGCCCCAACCTTGAGGGGCCAAGTGGCCTTGGGGCCTGGAGCACTCCCCTCACTCGCCACCTACATCTCTCAGCTTGGGGAGAGAGAGTTCCAGTGCTCCACTAATATGGCCTACGCACACAAGGACTCTGCACATGATTCTGTCCACATGTAACACACATCTAGTTTAGTGCATCTCTCCTCTACTTGTGTGGGTTCCTCATGTGTGTCTTCTATATGAGGAGCCTGTGCACCTATGTCTTGGATACCTGCCTCAGGTGCCCCTTTCTGGACTCTCCTACTTTCTGAGACCATGAGAGAGCAGACTTGGGCTTGTGATAGACACCAGCTTCTGGCTTCACTCTCTTTCTTTCCCCAGGTAGTCAAGAAACTCCTAGAAGGTTGGAACCTTGTCTAATACATCTTTGTGCTCCTCTTTGGTGCCTAGCACAAATCAGGAGCTCAATAAATGTTTGTGGATAAGTGTTGTCATCTCTCTGCTCCTGATTCCCATCTGCTCATCTTTGGTGTTGAGAGTAAGGGGTTCAGAAGATGGAAATGGAATTGATGATAACAGCATGAGGGAATAGCTGAACTTTTTCCAGCCTTAGGGATTCTGGGAACCAAAGAGAAGTCCCTGCATGCTGCCATATAACAGCAGCCAACCCCTTCAAATGGGCAAATACTTACCATCTTTACCCCAAAGAATTCAATTCGACTCTCACCTAGAATCTCCTCCAGAATGGATGTGTTGCAGGGTTTTTCCCCTTTCCCATTAGATAAGAGTAGTAGCACTATTTTTATAGCTAGTAATTCAAGAACTGATCTGTCCATTTGCTGTACAGAGGTAACTCATGGTTGCTGTGACATGGTTGCTAAACACTGTGACACTGATATGCCAAATGTGATAATGGTGACCATGGTGGACAGTGTTTGGTGGAGCTCTCTGATTAAAACAAGTTTGGAAGCAAGAGTGGTGTCCACTTCCAAAGTAGCTTGCCTCCGGAAACTCTATGAACTTGGAGAAACTATGAAAGTTATTCAAGTGTCCAAGTCTTTCGTTCATAGGGTCACTATGAGTCATCTATGACTCGATGGGACATAACAACAACAAACAACAATTCAAGTACTATGTCTTGCTTCAGATATATATTTTGATTCACCTTCAGGATGTTTGAAAAAAAATCATTCATTCATTTAACAAATATTTTATTGAACTTCTACTATTTCTTGCCTTTGAGCTGTGGTGCTGAATTTTGAAGCACTGTCTCACATACTTTAAGCATGTGGCCAAAAAGGAGATTGATCCTTGGAGAAAGACATCATGCTCAGAAGGGTGGAGAGATAGTACAGAAGAGGAAGATCCCTGATAAAATGGATTAATACAGTAACTGGGGCAATGGGGGTTGATGTGTTGGGGTCAGTGAGACTGGCTCAGGACAGGGCAGGCTTCAGAGCTGCTGTACATAGGGTCGCTATGAGTTGCAGGCAACTCAACAGCACATAACAACTATTCTCGATTCATAGGATATAACAGTCATAAACAAATCTCTGTCTTTGTCAATAAGACTCACACACAAATCTCTGCCTTTGTGAACTTACAGTCTAAGGGAAGCAGGAAATGATAAACATTATAAAGAACTAAATTACACTGCAAGCTACCAAGTAAGGAGGGCTAGAGCAGGGCAAGATGGGTAAGGGATGCCATGTTTAGGAGGGAGGTCTGGTATTTTAAAAAAGTGTCCAGGAAAAGTCTCATTGAGAAGGTGATGTTTGAGGAAAAGTACAGAGAGAGTGAGTCACCTGGAACTGGGAAGGAACACCATTGAAAGGCAATAGCCTGAGGCCAGCACATGCCTGACAGATTCTGAGAGGTAATGGCGACCAGAGAGAAGAATTTAGATCCAAGGACCTGGAGGAATGCTATGAGTTGGCCTAAACTCTATGGCAACGGATTTTTCTGTGACATGCTCTAAATTATATTTTAAAATGGAGCCCTGAAGATACAGTGGTTAGGAGTGACTGCTAACTGAAGACTGTTAATTCCATAGCCACTCAGCCATTCTGCAGATAATCTGCTTATGTTAAGCCTATAAAATTTGAGATAAACAACAACAAAACCAAAACAAAACAAATCCCCTATTTTCAGTTCTACTCTGTCACATGGGGTCAGAATCAATTCAACAGCAATAACACTTTTTAGAAGAACAACTTTTATTGCTGCAAGACTGCATCAGCTACAATTAAAATAAAATTTTATTTACAAAACAAAATTAAAAAAAAAAAAAAGACTGCATCAGCAGCCAGTTTATAAAACTGGATTTTATACAACACATCAGAATTCTTTCTTTCATTTTATTCAACTTTCTATTTTTATTTTTATAGTGTTTCTTTTTTATTGTATTTTTGTTTATTTATTTTTCATGATTATACATTCCCTTTCCCCCTTTCCCCGCCTCCTCCAGCCCACCCAGCAACACACCCCTTCTTCCAGATTGCTATTATACAGACTTCTACCTGCTTTTGAAAGAAAGATTTGACTACTCTGGCCTCTATGTACTCCTGGGGCTGAGTAGTGGCTAGGCCTTTTGGGTGGGCTATGATCTCTCCCTCCTTATTGCTTCAAGACAATGAAGTAAACAAAGATTTTTGGTATCACATCTCTATTGCCGCCTTTGAGTCTAGTATGACTCATAATGACCCTATGAACAAAAGGCCTGAAGCCCCTCTACAACTATTGACATTTATCAAAGTTCATAGAATTTCTGGAGGCATGTTGTTTAGGAAGTGGATGCCATTCCTGCTTCTAACACATCTCTATTAGAAAGTAAGAATATTAAGGGAGCTCTGGTGGCCTAGTGGCAAGGAGTTGTGCTGCAATTATGAAGGCTCATGGTTAGAATCTACCAGCTGCTTCTGTGGAGAAGGAGGGGCAATCTCCTCCTGTGCCAGTCAGATCCCACTCAATGGTATACAACAAGTAAAAGGGGAAGGGAAAAAAAACAGAAAGCATGAAAATGAAAGCCCATGAAGACAGTGCAGTGAGAGGAAAGGCCTATTTCTTTATGAAAATGAAAAGTAGTCTAGAGGGAGCTCTGGTGGCTGGCCTAGTGGCAAAAAGCTCCACTGCAATCCCAGAGGTATGGGGTTCAAATCCACCAGATGCTCTGCTGGAGAAGGAGGGGCAATCTCCTCCTGTATCAGTCAGATCCGATTTGACGGCACACAGGAAAAAAATAATAAAACAAAAATAAAAACATGATTGTTGTTATGTGCCATCGAGTCGTTTGAGACTCGTAGCGACCTTATGTACAAGAGCCCTAAACGCCGTTCTATCCTGTGCCAACCTCGCAGTCTCAAACACATTCATTCCCACCACTCCACTCATAGAACCAATCCATCTCATCGAGGGTCTTCCTCTCCCGCGCCGTCCCTCCGCTCTCTCAAATATGATGTCCCTCTCCAAGGACCAGTCCCTCCTTGCAACATGCCCAAAGTATGTCAGACGAAGCTTCAGAATAAAAAAAAAAAGTAGTCGAATTTTAATAGGCTCTGGTGGCCTAGTGGCTAGAAGCTGCTCTGCAATCCCGAAGGCAGGCAGTTTGAGGCCACAAGCTGCTCTGCTGGAGAAGGATGGACAAACTCCTCCTGAGCGATTAACTGCCTCTGAAAACCCTCTGGAGGGTCAGCTATTCCGACTCGACGGTCAATTCAAAAACAGACAAACAAACACACACACAAATACATATATACAAAGAGAAGCTTAGTAAAAAAAATAGAAATGCGCTAATTTGCATTACCCACTTGGCCTCTAAGCAGCTCTGGTGGCAATAGTCTGTAGAGAGTTGTGCTAACACAAAGGCAGAGCACTTTTTTGGTGGTTTGAATCCACCAGCTGCTCATGGGAGAAAAATGAGAACTCTATTCTCAAGTGACTCACAGCCTCTAAAAACCTGCTGGAGGGCAAGGTGTGAGTTGGTTTCAATTTTTGATGGCAATGAGTTTTGAGTGACCTGGCTTCTGGTGGTACAATGTTCAAGATGCTTCGTTGCTAATGGAAAGGCTGGAGATTTGAACCCACCCAGCCACTTTGCTATAGAAAGATCAGGTGATTTGCTTCTGTAAATATTGGAAACATCTGTAAACATCTAGAAAGTTCTGTTCAGTAGAATACAGTGCCACTCTGTCACATGAGGCCACTGTGACTAGAAATCAATTCAATGGCAATGAACAAAACCAACATCTGAGTTCTAACAGGCATCTGAGTTTGTGATCCCTGTTCATAAAGGGCTGTCACTCCCGTAATCTCATTCGAGCCTATTCTCCTGCTGTTTCAGGTACTATGCAGCCTCAGAATTGGTAAACTTTATAATTTTTTTATATTTTTGTCCTTCTAATTTTACAAAAAGTGAAACAGAGGTCCAGAATGAATGGTTAAGGAACCCATTTAACATGAGCTAGAAAGTAGCAACATGGACCTGGGAATAGAGTTTGCTCTATTAAAAGGCCTGGATTAAAAGGATCTTCTGCTACCATTGTAAATTATGGTTTAAATGCAGTTCGAGAGAGAGAGAGCACGTGTCTCCAAGCACTCTTTACACAGTAAAGAAGTACAAAAGTGTATCTTATTGTTTATTAAGACCATGAATAAGATTCTATTCATAATGCTTGTTGTTGTTGGGGGCCGTCAAGTCAAGTACAACTCACAGAGACCCTATGGACAAAAGATCTGAACGCTGTTCTATCCTGGACCATCCTCACACTTCTTGACACACAAGAGCCCATTGTGGCAGTCACTGACTGTGTCAATCCACATGGCAAAGAGTCTTCTACTTCACCCACTCTCCATCCTTCCTAGCATCATGTCCCTCTCCAACGAATAGCCCCTCCTAGCAACATGCCCAAAGTATGTGAGGCAAAGCCTCCTCATTCTGCCTCCAAAGAGCACTCAGGCTGCACCCTCTCCAAGACATATCTGTTCATTCTCTTGGTCATCCATGGAATGTTCAGTGCTCTTCTCCAACACCAAAGCTCAAAGGGGTCAATTCTTCTTCTGTCATCCTTATTCCTTGTCCAGCTCTCAGATGCATAGCAAGTAATCGGAAGGACTATGGTCCGAATCATATGCATCTTAGTCTTCAAACTGACATCACTACTCCTCAATTGTTTGGAAAGATCCCTAATGGCAATGCATCTCCTAATTTCCTGACTTGTGATTGTTGTTGTTATGTGCTTTCGAGTCGCTTGTGACTCATAGCGACCCTATGTACAACAAGCCCTAAACTCTGCTCTGTCCTGTGCCACATCACACTGTCTCTGACACTCCTATCCCAATTAAACCAATCACTGAGTCAATCCACCTCATAGAGGGCCTTCCCCTCCTGCGCTGTCCCTCCACCCTCCCAGGCATGATGTCTTTCTCCAAGGACTGGTCTCTCCTCACAACATGTCCAAAGTATGTTAGACGAAGCCTCAGAATCCTTGCCTCTA